CTGTGTTATTATGCTAATAAAACAAGCGGACAGTTTTGTCATCGAAAATAATTAAATATTATTATATATCAATAATGCAAATTTAAATAATTATATAACATTTACACAGCTTTGTGCTGATCTTTTCTTTTTCTTGTCTTTCGGATAAATTCCAACACCTTGTATTGAAAATTGAGCTCCTATCAAGCCGATGCTGGGGGTGTGAGAGATGTTGCACATCAGTATCTCTCATCTCTGCTGGGGCGTGAGAGATGTTGCACATCAGTATCCCTCATGTCGGCTTGGGGCGTGAGAGATGTTGCACATCAGTATCCCTCATGTCGGCTGGGGGCGTGAGAGATGTTGCACATCAATATCCCTCATGTCGGCTGGGGGCGTGAGAGATGTTGCACATCAGTATCCCTAATGTACAGACTCGGTCAGGTCCAATCTGCGAATGTTATTTTGTTGTTTTGTATGCTTCCGAGGGATCTCCCTGTTTTTCAGATATTTCACCTATTACCTATTTAACTCATTGCCAACGATCAAGACGCCACAACGTACAAAACAACTGATTCAGACGCTAAAATTGTATTTGTACTTAAAATTGTTGCATCTATTCATTTTACTCCCGTACATTTATAGATTCTGTATACCTTTAAGATTATAAATGTGAGTTTAGATTGGAACTTATATTGTATAGCTCTGAATGTCATTTCAGATTTAAAGAGAATAATCTAGATGCCGCAATCAATGTTCCCAACGAACCATACAAATAAAACAACACTTAATGAATGAAAGTCAAGAATCATGAAAAACGTTTTATTTATACTGTCGGGAAAAGGCGTTAAAATGAAACAAACAAACGAGCAAACAAAATATGTAAACGTTAATAATGATTTTTTTAAAAGAAACCACCTACGAATGTGCACAATTTTAAGAGCTTCATATAATCTTCAAAACTCAGCGTCAAATTCTAACTTAAACAACAATATTGTATGTTACTTGTATATAACAATAACCAAAATTATTTTGTTGGAAAGTCAGGATTGTGCAATTATTTTACAATTAGAAAAAAAACATAAATGAAGTTTTACATATTAACATGTTGACTTTACATCAGATGATTTACGTTAAGCAGTCAATAATGGCAGCATACACAAACATTTTAAGTTACTTATACACATTTGCTCAAGAGTGCGTTGGTGGAACGTACGTTGGCGAGAAATATATATATATATATATCTTTACAATTAATTGAATACCAATGTAACAATTAGTTGTTTGTTCTGAATGGATAAAAACAACACACAGTACGTTAACAAATACCAAAGCATATTTGAATATGTTATATTATATTTCCATGATATGGTTATTAGATATAATTATTGATTATTATTTAGAGGATGCAAATTCAAGTGATGCTATCACTACTCTCCTTCAAAACCCTCGTGTAACTTGATAAAATAAAAGTATGCATTACCTTTTGAAAAAGTTTATATGATAAATAAAATGCCTTTTTTGATGACGAAAAAAATAATATTTTATTATAATTATAGTGATGAGCCCAAACCAATTTTAATATTATAACAACAGCGTTTGTGGGTTGAATTTTGATTTAAGATCAGCAAAAGTCGATGATCTTCCTATCAAAGGCCATTACAAAAGGTTCTTTGAATGCAACTGAAAAAATAAGCTAATCTATACATTTATTATTATCACTAAAATTATAAACATTAAGGTATACAGCATATATTGATTTTAATGCAGTTTATGTACACATTTGTATGTCACATGCATTTTTTAACGTTAGTTTTTAATTAAAATGATGAGCATCCAAGTAAAAACAAGATGCATGCTATTTTCGTGTTAATAACAATAATCTATCAGGGAAATTCCGGTTTTATTTACCTTATGGAAGCGTTTTCCTGAAGAATTCATGTTCACACGAAATAAATCAGAGCCTGCATCAGCAACAAATATGGTATTATAAATGCATATGATTAAAAAGGATAATTATGTTTTGTGCAACATAAATTGCACGTCTAATCTAATGCTACTATAATTATTTATATTTCTTCGATGTAAATGAATATACAGTAAAGACAAACAATAAAGAACTTTATCTATATTTATCAATTTGTGTAATGAATTTTCAAACAAATAAATCAATACCTGTAAATTAAAACTTGAAAAAAGAGAACATTGGAAAAAATAAAAGCTTGAGAAAATCTTAAAAAGACATAAAGCATTCATCAAACATGTTATCTAAAAACTTAGCATATTTACATACGAATTCTCATTTCCAACAATAAATAAATGAATGGTGTTTATTTTCTAGCTTTCTTATAAAAATGGCCTGTATAGTAAATCATCTTGATTGTATCATATATAATGTTCAAAAATATAGAATATATAATTATACAATATACATGTAAGTGCGTATTGAAATTGCGGTATATCTAATCAATGAAATAATTTTATTATTGGCAATTCTGTTTCAATAAAATCTTAAAATATCAAAACATTTTACATTATTACACATTTCTGTCACCACACAATGATATCAATCCTTTGCACGAGAAAATACTACAATTAAATATCATTGCGTGCTTTTTCACGAACGCTCTGTTAAACTCGGCAACAAGTATTTTTTAATTAAATCTAGCACAGTAATTATTATTGTGTTTTACTATAATTCCGAACTTTTAACGTTTATATGTTTATGTCTCTTTAAACTAAAGTGTGTGACATGGTCATAACAAAAAAAATTAAGACATTAATTGCATATTATGTAAAATGTATTTTATATTACCAAGAAGGACAATAATAGCTGTGACACGACATTTTATAGCCTTTATGTCCATGGTATATGGTTTTATAACAAACGGTTATGGTAATGGTTATAAAATCTTTTTTATCATTTTTTCCACAATAATATATGAATGATTGGGCACGTTTTTTATTGAGTTTTTTTTTGCATGTATTGTTTTTATACTGTCTTTGAATTGTTGTCATTTTAATTCATCCCCCCTTCTATGCGCTAATTTTAGAAAGTTTAATATCTTATCATAAAATTATTTGTTTTCAAACATATGTGTAGGGTAACTTGACTTAAAGATTTATTCTCATGATGCCCTTATGTCTTTGGTATCCGTGTCATATGCGAAAGAAGTCCATATACTGTATATCAAATATTGAAATTACACACCAGCTCACTCTCTATAAAATTTATCAAATGAATGTCCAGCGTTTGCACTTTTTGATGTACAAATCAAAAATAAAATATTGGATTCAAACCTACAAATTTTGACTCGATTTCATCTTGCCAGTCCAAAAAATCAATATCAAATGACAATTATACTCCGTCAAGCCACGTTTTCATTCCCAGTGTTCACAATAACTCATATAAACTTCTTAATTGAAGTTCGGACAAAGTTTCAAAATTCTCAATGTGATAATAATAAATATTATTTTTTATTGTTTAGTTAATATTGAATCTATTTGATCAATACATATATCCAGTTGCAGAACAAAATTGCGAATTGGCGTCGGCAGTATCATTCTTAACAATGTATACTAAGCTGATATTTCAATGTAATCAAAATGAGGAACCATAATCTTTATTATATTAGCATATTAAGCTTAATAATAAATGGCGCACGAATATTTATAACTTTCCACATCGCTGTACCCTATCATATTCAATAAAAAAAATATCACTTTGCAGAAACAAAATTTTAAGTGATACTTTTGTGAGCTATCATACTGACTTTTACTGGTAGCACATTGTATAGTAAAGACATGACTTACTTAGATACATGCATCTATATCCAACCTTACAGTAAAAAAGCAATATCTTGAGGAAAGTCTGCATAATGTATGCATTTTTCGATCTAACTAAATACAAAAAAATGATATCGTTGATAATAATATACAAATATTTGTCATCGACATAAATAGCTGAGACTATGATTTCTTGTTCAAATGGTAAAGTATTTCAATTGACGATTCATTTATACACATATAATTTTTTTTTAATTTTGGATCATTGGCAAATCATATCATGACGATTGCATTATTTCTTTATTAAGTACTTTTAATGGCCTAAAATTATTTCCTGATTTAGTTAACACATCTTTAATATAAAATTGAATTATGTCTGAATGTATGATAATGATTTACAATAATACAACAAGTTTTTGTTTTGTGTACGTATACATTTATTTTAATGAAAATTGGCATTGTATACATTTATTCAACAATCATAGTAAAACATTCGAGTATAATATGTTCTTAGAATACTTAATAATCTAATATATTGTGTATATTGTAAACTGTAGTAATGTAGGACATAAAATATGCCTAAACTTATCTTAATGGTAGGATACTAGGACATCGCACACCTGCAAAATGCTCTCAATTGGACTATCTTGTTGTTGACTCGAAGGTATTTTTTATTCTAAGAAATCGTAAGAATATCAATTTTTGATTGTCTAACGATTTCTTTGTATAAAAAGACACTTTACCTTTGAGACGACAACAACAACAACAACAAAACAACAACAACAAAAAAACAACAGTGAAATTGGTAGCATTTTGCAGGTGACATAGTATCCTACCATTGAATCTGTATTATCGACGTTTGTGATCCAGCATGCTAGACTTAATTTAAATAAAGGCTCCGGTAATAATGCGGCTACATATGCCACAGACTGGTGCGTGTATTTTGTTTAACAGTTACAAATTATCTTTTTGACGAAAGATAACAATTCCTGAACGTGACACGTAACCATTTGTTGTATATAAATATAAGAGTTTCAATATTTCATTTATATTACTATTTTATCTGAATTGATTCTTCAAATTAAACAATTGCTTATGTAAAAATTGTCCATTATCACATTATTTGTCACTGTATTTCAATTCGTCGTTAGATACACAATGTAGTAAATCAGTGTTATTGATAAATTTTCTTTGACACACCATGCCAGCTAAATAAAGATAATAACACAATTTATTTACATAGGGCTATCACCATACGATTTCACAGATCCGCTTAGCTTACCACAGAGTGTCGTATGTGTTGTGGTGGACCCTAATCGTCTACATTTTATGTATGACCCATATCTGCTTTCATTTGAAGAATGGCAAGAAAGCATCTCAACTAAGGCAGTGCGAAAATATTTACCAGTTATACTGTACAAAAAGAAGTTTATACAATAATTCATATAGAAAATTGTTCGTGTTATCATTAGGACGCCACTCCAATACTCGACATCAGCTGCTTTCCTGGTTCTGGAAGGGCTTATTTCAGCAGATTGAAAGAAGTTCCTTGCCCAAACAACAGAATATGGTAAGTTAAATGCAACAAAGAAAAATGAAATAGCCAATAGTATAAGTGTAAATTCTAATCTAATAGTTGAATTGTCTGAAACGATATTCCTGCTTTCTTTATTTCTTATGAAAAGTTTCCTTACAATAAGGATATTTAAAGCAGTTATAATTATGAACGGTATTAAAGTTATCGTGATAGCAAACACTCCATCAAGAGCAAATGACAGAAATTTATAATCAGCATTAGCAGTGCACACTGTTCTATGCATTTGCGTGTACTCTCCACTCAGGATAGGTTTGTACAAAACCAACAAGCAGGAACAGGCAAGCATTGTAAGTAAGATCTTTCCGGCTCCTCTTTTTAAACTTTTTAGTGGGTAACACACACCCATAAATCTTTCAATAGTGAACACTACAATAATCCAAGAAGACATCAATCTTGATATATAAGCCATGTACAGAAGAAACTGACATAATCCATGTCTATTAAGAAAGGATACATCCGTGTCAGGACTGATGTGTTTTAATCCTCTTCGAAGCCATTCCACTAGCACATAAAATATCAGAGAAGAAATATCAGACATTGATAATGCAGCTAAGTATAAACTTGCTGATAATTTTCTCATCTTTTTGGACCTAAATACTAACAAAGATAGAATATTTCCAACGACGCCGATGACAAAAATGATTGGTGTAATATAAGAGAATATATTTGATCCAAATTTATACACGAAGGGCTTATTTCTTAAAGTGACGTCCTCGTTACAGAAGTAGCAGTCAAATCCGGCTTTGATCCCAGATATGTTATCTGACGTATTAGATGTTAGTGGTGTATAACCAATTGAAATATTCTGTAAAGAAAAAAAAAGATGGTTAAAAACATTTTATTTCCATATTTTTGTCCATATTTTATATGTCCCCAAGCACGGGTTTGACTCAATGGAAGATATGGATAAGTTTAGGTTATAACACAAGCGTTATTATCTGACATTAGAAAATACCAACATGGTCTGCCTTGAAAAATAAAACTTTACATTTTATGGTAACCTATGAAAAACGGTAAAGATCTAACTTGAAATGCCGTTACAGAGTAGTGATTATGTTTATTTTTGAAGTTAAGGATTTCAAACCGCGCAAGCTTGTAAATCTTCGTAACACTTCGTTTTTAAATTAATAGTTATTAAATAAATTTTGGATTGTAAAATTTAACTAGCTAATACAATACTTTTTATTCATTTGTGAGTACTTATAGTGGTCATTTCGTGTTATTCACACGTTATATCATCATGAGTTGATGCACTAAATGACATTATTATAAAAGCAATATATAGACTAGACAAAATAGAGATCTTAAAGGAATGCTAATTTGACGTAAGGAACTTTGACATTGTCAGTTCAAAGCCAGACGGCATAATCAACTGTAGAGTAAATAATCTAGAAAGAAATGGTATTATTTATTTAGTTATTTATTTATTCATTTATTTATCCACTTTAAGGAATGACTTGAAAGAAACTAGATAAACTATCAACTCCTCCTGTGTTGCAGTTTTACATTAGTATACGATTTGCTATTGCAGTAATAAAGTGAATGTTGAATAATTAACTTTTGAATGGAAGTAATATGTACTTCTGAATAAAATAAATGAAAACAAAAACTTACTATCACTACTTTCTACATGCGTCGCTCCTTTGATAATCAAATGAAAACATTAAAACTGTTGAAGTTAAAAATGGATCATTGTATTAATGAACTTGAAATAAAACACAACATGTTTTTAATATTGATTGCTACGGACTATATTTTCAAGTTTTTAAGTAAATGGAAAAATTAAATAAGCTGCTCATGATAGATGATTAATTTTTTTTTATTGAACCTATGGTTATAAGACAAAGTGCAAAATTATAACATTAATACATATTTACATATTTTTACTTTAATCAAGAACATTTTAATTATCGCTCTCTTAACGTTTTTTTTATTTTATTTTGTATTTTTAATATTTTTTTTTTTTTTTTGTAAAAGAATTTTAACAAATTATTTCGAAAAATTAGGTTAATATTCAATGATATAAGAATTTGTATTAGAACTTTATGTATATTACAACATGATTTTGTTGTATATATGTCAATGCATTTTGTATAACACTGATATTTCTTAAGAAAGTGTGGTAATTTTGACAATTGGCATATGCGATAACCATGGAAACTGCCCGTTTACAAAAAAACTATCACGTCAACATAAATTTTATTTCTATTTTTGAATCCACCATAAAATTTTACTTGATATATCAAAAATGTAGAATTGTTTTTGATAGCTATAATTATTTACAGAATTCATGCTTATTTTTCTCAATTTTTTTCAGTTAAGAAGCATGAAAAACTCATTTTTTAAAGAAATATGTTCAGATTATCTTTTGTTTTATACAGAACCCTTAGATAAAGCAAGTTTTGTATAAAATTATGCTTGTTGTGTGTGTAATAAGCTGTCTTATACATTTTTATAAGACAGTTTGGCTATTTTGACAGTTTTTAGATATACGGTTACCATGGAAATTGCCATTTTTCAAAAAATCTAACGCGTCAAGATATATTTTTCTTTTTCTTTTTGAATTTGTCATTAAATTTTTCACAGTATACCAACAATTTAGAAAATCCTATGAAAGAATCTTTTCAAAATCTTTAATTTCACAGAATTCATGTTTATTTTTCCTCATTTTTTGTTCAGTTAAGAAAAATGGAAAACTAATTTTTAAAGAAATATGTTCAGATTATCATTTGTTTCATACAGAATCATTGGATAACGTTATCTTTATATAAAACAATGCTTGTTGTGTGTATTAAGCTATCTTATACATTTTCTATTTGTTATAACACAAGTTGGCTATTTTGACAGTTGTTAGATATACGGTTTCCATGGAAACTGCCATTGTACAAGAAATCTAACACGTCAACATATATTTGTCTTTTAATTTTTGAATTCGCCTTTAAATTTAACTTATCATACAAAACAAATAAAAATTCTATGAAAGGATTAAAATTTCATAAAACTGTAGAAAATGTCTTCAAGTGTGTTCCTTTCTTCTCTTTATTAGAGAGGTAAATGTGAGAAAGAAATTGGAATGCAATTGTATTAAAGTTGTTAACAACAATAAATAAATAAATTGGTAAGCTAGTATATATTAATAAAAAAAGGGTTTTAATTGGGTACTTTTAAAATAATTAATGTGTGTCAATAAGGTAATAAACAACATTAATTAAGTTATACTTACGAAGTTGTCTAATATATTATCTAATATTCCATCCATCTTTAAAAAGAAAAACAATTATAAACAGTTCATATTTTCAATAAAATCCCTGTAATGCTCCCAACTATAACACTTTGCTAGAAGTAGCTTTTCTCTGAATGATATATTATAGACAATTGCCAATCAGTTCCGATTAATGACTTGATAACAAGTATTATTTTGTTTTAAAAAGTTATATAAACTATGATTTTCTATCCTGTTATCCATATTTCATCATTTCTCCTCCGTTACGACATACGGAATGATCTAAGTTATTAACAAGATCAACTATTGGAGTAATTCAACAGTTAGCGAATAGCAGTGTTTCCAATACCCTAAGAACACCATACTAAGACATTGTTCATTGTTCATGTTTTCATTTTAAAATATACGTAATATTTTCAAAGATTTTTTTCAGACTGCATGGTAACGTAACGTTCTGAAACTTGTTCGTTTGTTATTGTTGAATGTTGTTTGATTTTATTTTCTTCACAACACATAACTTATGTATATCAATATAATCTTCGGAAGCATTTTATGATGAAAAATATACATTACATGGGTAATGTTTTCTTCCTATTTTTTCAGAGAATCACGGCTTAATCACACTAGAATTTTGGTTATTTTGAACATTATTACAATGCTGCTCATGCTATAATCAGGCATTTTATCATGTAATTCTATTGTTAAGTTTCATTGGGTACAAAATCAATACTTAAATCGCGTGTAATGTAAGCATTTTGGTGAGGCATTATCACATATTTTCCTTCTTAAATCAAAATAACTGACAAAGTAACATATATCAACTGGGGACTGGAATTTGGCGGTTCATGTTTGGTACTCATTAGTCATTTGCTAATATAAACTTGCTCAGACTGCAGTTAACAGAAAGATACGAAGATTTAGAGTTCAGACATCAAACAAGCTGATGCATTATCTGACTTTACAGCAATTAACATGTTTTTATGTATGTATGTATGTATGTATGTATGTACGTACATACGTAGGTACGTACGTACGTACGTACGTATTGTCCCTATACTTTTTATGTATAAGTTTGTATAATAATAATCATTCAGTACGATTTTAACATTTTTATGTTAAAGTAATATGCTGTCTTGCACTCTTATTTAATTGAACTTATTTCTGTCAGTGTTAACTAGTAACTTCAAACCGTTAATCAAGTTGATTACACATCCCATCAGGATGTTCTTAGTACAAGCAATCTCTCCTCATTAAGAATCAATCGCATCAAACCAATGCACCATTGTTCAACTGAATACAATACATGGCATAAAGTTCTTAACACTGTGAGCATGCATGGGGTCTTGCAATAGAATTGCTAATTGTATGAAGTTAAACCGGATAACACTGCGAGTAGCATATGATTTTTAATCCGTATTGAAGATTGCGTTTTTACATCAGAGAAGGGATGCAGCTTCCCAAACGTGGTTTATGCATTCTCGTATTCAGCTTTGAGAAATGCAGTAACATTTGTAAATAAACATGCAATTAAATTGGTTTACTCAAACAAGTATATTTCTTATTGTTATTTGTCTTTTACTACTTTATTTTGCATTTTCGTTTGCACGATTATAGGTATACACTTTAGAAGGAACTGGATGACATATTGTTCTGTTATGCTGTTAAACTTAATGTTACTAAATTCATTCCTACATACAAAATATTTCTAAGATTAAATTCTTAATCCCTGATTAATGACGATAATTCCTTTTGCAGCCCTTTAGACAATACAGTTTATTATTTAAGAACGAAGTGATTGTTAAATAGCATTAAGAAAGCCAAATAAAATTTATAAAAAATTCGTCCTCTTTAAGGTCTTAAATATACCAATACGCTTTCATCAAGTGGCTGCAATCATTCTTTGTCCATACAGCTATTCAAATGATACGCATGTTTATGTAAAAATAATTTATCATTCTTTGATTTTTTATCATGCAAAGTTTTAACAAAATCTTCTTACCATTTGTCAATGAATACTTCGCTTAATTGGGAATCCTTTAACATACCTAATGCAAATTTAGAATATTTTATTTAAGAAAAAGGTTAGTCATAGATTTTATTCAGGGACCTTAATTTCTGTTGTATTTTTTCTGTGTGTCTTTTTTGTTTGTCTTTTTTCAGGTATCATAGTCTTACTAAAACTGCTTTTAGGCTAACATTTGATATTATGGTTGCTGTAGAAAAATATACACTGGGATCAATGTACGTTGTAACAATATATACATGTGTAATTGAGAGTAATTCAGCTAACTGATTGCAATTTTCATTAGACTCGGATGGATACAACCCCTGTTCATCCCTTTGATCGGCTTATTGCCGTAGTAACAAATTAAGAAGTAATGCTTTTTAGGAATCAGGGTACATGTATTTGTTTTGAAGCAAATATTCACATACTTAAGCATTTTGTAGGATTTGTGAAGCTCAAGAATGTAACCAACAGTCAAATTTAATAAAAATATGTATAACATGGTAACGTGTAATATGTCCTAATATGAATAAAACAACCTTTGTGATTACTTGTTGCAGTCTATGACATTTTTCAAACAGTGACAACAATCTCTTTTAGATCAGATAGAGTATCCGGATACTTTTGTATTTTCGTAGTTTGTTTGATATCATTGATTAAGCCAAAATCAAACATGTAACACTATATTTCGATTGATGAACGTCTCAAATCTTATAGGGAAAATACCTATTAACGTTTTGATAATCATAGATAGATAGTCGGTTGCAATTTATTCAGAACTGTCTATGCATTTTAAATCGAATTTAATACACAAAACATAAACATACCTGATATGACGATATAACGCATGTAACACATATGTATAAAGTTTCCGTCTTTGAACAACATTTATATTTTAGCATTGTCGTTAAAAAGGACCACTGTTTTGAAAAAAAAATAAGCAAAGTTAACTGTAGAGGTATTGTCAAAATACTCTATACAATTGTAAACACGTATTACACTTGCACTTCATCGGCTTACACAACTCAAAAGATGATATAATTTTATAAGATTTTATTTTTATTCCATGTATTCAAACCATACTTCTTATTTTTGAATTTCGGCAATGGACAATCAGGGATGATCAGTACAGGTATTTCATTCAGTTTTAATGCTTATATTTTTCTGGCAAGATAATTATTCAATTATTGATTGAGATTATCCTTTACTGTCTATGATAAATATTATTGAGGAAAAAGTAAAATTATTATTCATGCTCCGTACTCTGTGCACGCAATATGATAAGTCATATTGTATTATTATTATTATTATTATTATTATTATTATTATTATTATTATATACCACATTTCTATAGCACTCTTTTCATAAATAATAAATGTTCAAGAGTGCTTTACATAAATCCTATAAAACATAATCATATATATATATAAGACATAATGTACAACAATAATTAAGTGAACCTATTAAACAATAATGATAATCTAAAACCAGTAAAGGATGGTAAGAAATACAGACACATTTAGTTTAAAATCAAGGCTCAATTAAAATTAACACTGATACTATAGCAAAAGTAGTACATGTATGATGATTTATGAACTAACAAACATAGAACTTTATGAAATAATGTGTTTTGAGAGCTCTCTTAAAACATGGCAAGGTATAACAGTCTCTAATGTCAGGTGGTAACGCGTTCCATAATTTTGCTGCGGCTGTCTGGAAGCACCTTTCACCATATCGTACTGTCCGAGATTTAGGCACAACTAATGTCATTGAGGTATTCTGGGACCTCAGATTTCTGACTGGGATGTACACGTCTATCATGTCTTTTATATAGGCTGGTGATTGATCGATGAGGGATTTATATGTATAAGTCAAAATTTTATATTCGACCCGATACTCTACCGGAAGCCAGTGAAGTTCACGTAAGATAGGTGTTATGTGGTCATATTTGAGTGTTTTGGTCACAATTCTAGCTGCTGTATTTTGAACATGTTGTAACTTGGTCATTGTCTGCTTAGAGACTCCATATAACAGTGCATTACAGTAGTCTAACCTAGAAGTAACAAGTGAATTTACTAGAGATTTGGTTGCTTTAACAGTAAGATTTGTCTTAATTGTGCATAACAGTTCCTACAGACATTATTTACATGTTGTTCCATCCTCATGTTCGAGTCAAGAAATGCACCAAGATTGCGCACACTAGATGATTGGCTAATTTTCGAACCGTCGACTGTTACTGTAACATCTGAAACAGGTTGTGTGTTATGTTCAGATGAGAAGATAATCAACTCCGTTTTGTCGCCATTTAGCTTCAGCATGTTGGCATTCATCCAACTTACAATATCTTCAAGACATCTTTCAATACGGTTTATATTCTTCTGAATTGAAATATTAGTCACAGGTTTGAAGGATAGATAGAGTTGTGAGTCATCTGCGAAGAAATGGTAGTTTAGATCATGTTTACGGCAGATTTCTCCGACAGGTTTCGTATACATAACATAGCTCTTGGGTCCCAGGACAGACCCTTGAGGTACACTGTACTCCATGTGGACTGGTTGTGATAGTTTGTTGTTTATGCATACAGTCTGGTATCGGTCGGTCAGGTATGACGTCATCCATGCGAGTGGCTTGCCTGTAATTCCAAAGTGTCGTTCAAGGCGGCGAAGGAGCGTTCCGTGATCAATTGTATCAAAAGCAGCAGACAAATCAAACATCACGAGAATAGTCACATTGTTATTATCCAAAGACCGTAGAATGTCATTTTGAACTTTTAACAATGCAGTCTCGGGCGAATGGAACTTGCGATAAGCAGATTGGTTGACCTCGTGTAGATTATTTGTCTTCAGATGGCTCTCAATTCGTACGTCAACGACCTTTTCCAAGATTTTAGACAGGAATGGCAAGTTAGACACAGGCCTATAGTTTTTCAGTTCGTTAGGATCTAGATTTGGTTTCTTTAGAAGTGGTCTTATTCGTGAGTGTTTGAACATTTTTGGTACATAAGCAGCATCCAAGGACACGTTTATAAAACTGGTTATCACTAGTGTTAGTTCATCTAGGCATTCTTTTAACAGCCATGT